AATATTAAATATATAAATACATTATAATTTGAAAGCACATATATATATAAACCCCCTTTAATAAAATATAAAAATATAAGCCGAAAAATTATGACCCATCTTTTTTACATAAAATTTATGAAATCATATTACATTTACTATAATATTTATATAAACTATTGGATACATTTAGAACAAATTATTATTTTTATTACTATTATTATTATTTTCTTTCTGATAAAGGCCAACAACAGCACAATCTTATTCGCTTTGAAACGGCCACCCTAGCATTCATCTCCCTCATCCTCATATTTGATTGAGCGGAATTTTTATAGTTTCCAAAGCCGCAGTATCGTCCTTTTACAGACTGTATGCTCTTTTATTGTAATTCAACATTTTTAACTCCTTCGCTCTTCAAAGAAATCTGAAATCCTCACCAACCCCGCGGCCTCGCCTCTCTCTCTCTCTCTCTCTCTCTCTTCTTCGCCGCATCCATCCCCTTTCCACATTGTGAGGGAACTGAGAAGAAGCCATTTCTGCCTTCTCCCTACTTTGTTCTTCCTCATTTCCTCCAATTCTTCTAGGGTTTCACCTACCTCCATGACGGCGGCTTCCTGCTTCTCGTGACTCCTGGAGTCTGCAATCGGTATCAACTCAGGCAGCATGGATCCCCATCTCCTCTTCCTTCTCCTTCTCTTCTACTTATCGGCACTCACGCAAGCTCAACCGTCTTCGGACACTCTTTCGTTGCTGGAGTTCAAGAAGGGAATCGCCGCTGATCCCACCGGCGTGGTCCGCACCACGTGGAATCCAGTGGCATGGGGTTCTGCTTCGGCAGTGGACTCCTGCCCGCGCTCCTGGCACGGCGTCACCTGCGACGACTCCGGCGCCATCATCGCAGTTGCACTTGATGGCCTTGGTCTCTCTGGCGAGCTCAAGTTCAGCACGATCGTCGGCATGAGGGCGCTTCGCAACCTCAGCCTCTCTGGCAACTCTTTTACTGGCCGCCTTGTGCCGGCTATCGGGGCAATGACATCGTTGCAGGTCGTTGATCTGTCAGAGAACCGCTTCTATGGACCGGTTCCGGGAAAGTTAACTAACCTCTGGGGCCTTGTCCACCTCAATCTCTCGTCCAATGGTTTCAAGGGTGGATTCCCCTCCGGGATCCAGAATCTGCAGCAGCTGAGGGTGCTTGACCTACGATCCAATGCGCTCTGGGGTGACGTTGGGGCCATACTTTCGGAGCTGAGGAACGTGGAGCATGTGGATCTGAGCAACAACAAGTTCTACGGTGTCCTTTTCATGGAGTCAAGCAATTTCTGGAGCTTGGCCAACACCGTTAAGTACATGAATCTGAGTTATAATCGCTTAAGTGGAAGGTTCTTCTCAAATGATTCCATGAGATTGTTTAGGAACCTAGAAATATTGGATTTGGGACAAAATCAGCTCACAGGGGAGCTCCCTTCGTTTGATTCCCTGTCTAATTTGAAGGTTTTTCGTGCTGGTAATAATCTGCTGGATGGACCAATAACAGAGGAACTATTTGGGAGTGCAAAGCAGTTGATGGAGCTTGATCTCAGCGGGAATGGGTTTACAGGTGAATAGCTTGTCTTAGAAATACTGTAATGCTTACCCTAGTCATGACTAGCTTGGAGTGCAATGCTGGTTGTTTGACCTTGCTTGATCGATAATTTCTTACTTTGCTGACCTTTAGACTGTTCTGTGAAGGGAACCAATTTCTATACGAGGATTCATGGGAAGCAAACATAAGAAGTCTGTCGTTTTCACTATCTGGTTTCAGCATTCCCTAATTATAAAAAGGAATTGGATTGCTACTTATATTTTTATTCTTTATGATGTTATTTATGATACTCTTTTGTTATGTTTAAGTTTTTTTTGTTACAGAAATGATGATGAATGCACTTATGTTCCTCACTATTCTTCATTTCGAAAGTGTTTTGACTTAATAATTAAGGAGAGAAAAAATTTTACTTGATTGTTGTTTCACTTCTTTGTTATTGCTTGTTTTATTGCCTTTTGCTTGCATGTTGATGTGTGATTTAAACTGGTCTCCCAAAAAATAAATTCAAATTACCTTTTTAATCATTTGAGATCTCAAACTATATTAAAAAAATGGCATTAGATCGCCAACATGGATAGAAAAATTGAATATGATAAAGTTGATGGTGACTTGTAACAAAAGTATGAGTGGTAGTATTTAAAGTGGATTATTTCTTGGTTAGATTGAAGAAAAGGTCTTGCTTCTAAGGATGATATGAAGATACAAAAAGTTCTTTTGAATTGAATGGTAAGCTTTGACTTGAATGGTAGATCATGTGGGGGATCAATTCAAATTGGATAACTTTGAGTTGAAAAGGTCTTGATTGAATTCATTTTTTGCATATGGAGGATTGCATAAGACAACTCATCTTGATGTGGAGTTTTGAGCTGGGCAACCATGTAGACGTAGGTTTTGCTATTGGAGAGCTCATACATGTCAATAGCGCAAAATTACGTGCATCATGGCCATACTGTCAATGGCGCAAAATAGCGCACGCCATGGCGCACGGCGCGGCGCGGCGCACCTACGGCGCCATGTTCATGGCGAGGCGCATGTGTTTAAAATAGCGCGCGCTATTTGCGCCACATGTGAGCCATGGCGCATGAGCCCCATGTTTAAAATGGCGCGTATTGCGCTGTGCCCCATGCGCCATGGCTCAGTACGCCATGCGCCATGGCTCAGTACGCCATGCGCCATGGCTCTATGGGGAATTTTACGCCGTGGTGTCCATTCACCATTGACAAGTATGAGATAACTATTCGTAGCTAAGAGGGAGAGTCTGGGACATATATGGTTGTTGATTGGTGCTAGTTGGATTGTTGATTTTGCATGATTATAGGAGGAATAATTGCAGGAGGCTAGCAACATTAATTGTGAATTTAGTACAAATGATGCCTTAATTTTTAGGATTAATATAAGGGCTAAATTTCAGGTATTGAGTCTAGGATTTCCCAGGTCCCTTGCTACCTGGACATATATATTTATCATTCTTAGCTTCGAAATAAGGTTTTAGTTTTGTGATTGATGAATATTTTGTAAGGATATTTGCAATTTGAATTTTTGTTCAAGTGTACTTTGATTTGATGATTACTTGATCAATTTTCTCTTTTATGAAATGTCTATGAATTTCCAAATTTTTAGTCCAATTATTATGAGCAAGGTGCTTAACAATGCTAATAGTAGCTTGATTGTCACACCTTCTTATCATTTTTTCATAGGAGTTTAATCCAATTATGGTGAACGTGATTATCCACTAGAGCATGTAAATATTTGAGTGTGTTAAAGCTATATACTTTAACAAACACCATGGGTGGCCTTGACTTTGGCTTCAACACTGCTCTGAGCAACAATAAACTAATGTTTAGATTCTCTACGTAGTTAGTTTCCTCATATGAACTAGCAATATCCCAATGTTGATTTATGATTTGTTACATATTCAGTCCAATTACCAAGAATGAAGACTTTTATACTTGTTTTAGTCCCAGTTTTCAAAGACTATGCCATTCGCATTTGTCTTTTTAAGATACCTCAATATCTTATATATAACATCAATATGCTCCTTTGTAGGGTTATTTATAAGCTGATTAACAAAACTAACAAGAAAACAAATATCAATTATAGTGTCAGATAGATAAATGAGTTTTCTTACCAACCATTAGTATCTTTCCTTGTTGACAAGGGTTGAGTGTCCTTTATTCCCAATTTTGTTTGATGGATCCATTGCTATGTTTGTAGGTTTACATCTAAGTATATAAGTTTGGTTTAATATGTTCAAGGCACATTTCTATCGCATGAGGATATCCTTTTTTTTTTATCTTACTATTTTCATGCCTAAGACATATTTTAATGAACTATGTTTTTTTTTTAATTTCAAATTCTTTAGTAAGGATACATTTTAGCTTATTTATCTCTTATTCATGATCTCGTGTCAAGATGATGGCATCAACATTTATGATTAGGATACAAATTATATCCTTAGATTGTCTTTGAGTTTAACCATAGTGAATATGTTGAATCAATCTCTTAATAAAATGTTTAATTCATACGAGGGCTGTTTCTTTCAAAGAGTTTTAAGTGTAAAATGATTTAATTTAGGGAATTGAAAATTTGGTGTGTTTGATTGGAAAAGAAACAAATGCAAAGTTTTGCATTCAAGAATTAGAAATTGACCCTTTCAGTTTATTTTTGGTGTATTCTAAAATCACTAAGTTTGAGGGATTTCTTAATACACCATATCACATTCCCTAGATGTTATAGTCGGTAGTTGCCAAGCTCCAGTAACTGCCTGATGTCGTTCTGGCATAATGCTACCGCCACTTGCTGTCCAACTCCCACCAATTGCTACTTCTAGACACTACTCGCCATCGTAGCTGGCTGCCACCATTTGCCAAATGCAAACAACCCACCTCTAGTGGCCTATTAATGCTTTAGAATAAAATTATGAAAAATATGAAAATGTTTTTTCATATTTGGTTCCATAATTGAGTCTTTAGAAATGATTGAAATTTTTGAAAATTAAAATTAATTTTAAACTTATCTGTTTTTAGAAAGATCCAAATATTTCTAGCATTTTTATCAACAAAAAATATAAATCATTTATTACCTAAAATATTGTTCACCTAAGATGGCCCTAGATGTCACCATGGATTATTGCAATTGGTTTGGAGGCTTTATAGGGATGACTAAGGTATGATATTTCATGTTGGAATGTCTCAGGTTTTTGTTGAGAAAAAGAGAACAAAATAATTTTTTTAGTTATATGAAATTTGGATGTTCGTGGAGAAATTGTCATAACAGCGAAAATCGGACCGGACAACAAACCGGATGAAAGAGAGGTTCACGGTTCGACCGGTCGAACCGGATGATGTAATAAATAATAATATTATTAAAAAATTAATAAAATTAATAAAATTGATAAAATAATGAAATATAATAATCATATAATTCCTATAAATTATTGTTAATTTATATTACATATTTAGATTTAATTTATAAATATAAATTATTTAAAAACTTAAAACTCTCAATAACTATGTTGTATAGTGTATATAACTATATATGAAACTAAAAATGACTTTTTGCTTTATATGATTTAGTCCCACATCACTTGGAAGTGTTACTTTGTATTGTTTATGCACCTCTTTGCTTTTACTCATGGCAAGAGCTAATATGGTGAATGAAGACATTTGAGATGGTTAAATTAAATATTTGATTATGTCTTTATCACAAAATTAAGAGTTTTATATTAACATTTATATGTATTTATCATTAAATAGTTTATTTAAGTATTTATATTAAAAAATTTTGAACCGTCCGGTTTTAAAAAACCCGGACCGGTTCAACCAGTGAACCGGCGGTTTCGGTTTTCAGGTTGAACCGAACCGGCCGTCAGACCGGTTCACGGTTGAACCGGTCGGACTGGCCGGTCCGGTCCGATTTTTAAAGCAATGCATGACCATATCGTGCTTTTGTTGGAGGAAAATAAATATCAAGTTTTATTTACTTCCCTTTCAAGAATTCCTTCATATTTAGGAGGTAAAAACCAACATTTTTTTGTATTGCCAATTATTTTTCTCGGGTCCCTACCCTAGAATTCACAGTGAGCAGGGAGAAAATTAGTAGTTCATTTCATATCATTGGTAATTTTATTGATTGATAATAAATTCAACATTTAGCAACTAAGAAAATATATTTTAGAACTAAAGAGCTAGAGATATTGATAGTTCCAATGTCACTTGTGATGTTGACCCATTAGCAATCATGGTTTAAAATTGCGCAATATGGGCTCGCCTTTGCGCAATTCCAGTAAAAAACGCCTCGAGTTTTTTTATGAGGCCTTCGCCTCAACTTGGTTGAGGCCCGCCTTGAGGCTCGACTCGCCTCACTGGCATGAGGCTTACGCCTCATGCTATATATATTAAAACTTACATAAATCTTGAAGTAAATGCCCGACATTGGACTCTATAGGAGAGGAGGAAGGGGAGAGAGCAGTTCATCATAATGATGATTCAAATGAAGAACCCCGTAGTGATGACAGTGATGATGACTTATGAGTTCTTATGTGATATGTCATTGCTATTTATTTTTGGAAATTTGAATTATATGTTAATGAAAAGAATACTGGGATTTGGGAAAGATAGAATTTTTAGTTGAACTATATTTCATGTTGTTTTATTGTTGGGATATTTTGATTTCACTTCATTTCTTATGCTTTTTTATGTTTTATATTATTCACTCATTAGTATATAAAAAATTTATCATTTTATGTTTACGCAATCTTTTGATTTTGAGGCTTACGCCTCAAAACGCCTTGAGGCTTACGCCTCGCCTCACGAATGAAAACCGCCTCAATACCCGAATACGCAATTTTAAACATTGATCTTGACTTTATAATTCTTGAAACACGATTGAAGAGTTTGAAGTAAGGAGTCATCCTTTGTGAATTTCTGTTTTGGACATTGAAGATTGAAGTCCATACCTTTTTGAACAATCACATCAATGACTTGGTTATAGTTTTTTAGATGCCAAATTTGCTA